TCTTGAACAGGCGCACTTTCCTTGACATTGTCAAGGTCTGTTTTTTCTCCACTTGACCCAGTGGCCATAACAGTGGGCTTGACATCCGAGAGATAGCACTCTCGGGCCATCCTCTGATCTCCCCTAAGGGAGCCGACTGTTCCATTGTCCTTTTCAAACTTAAGCAGCATAAGTGACGGGATTATAACAGCCTTGGAATTATTCAGGGTTGGTCGACCCAGAATCATGTTGTAGGCAGAGAGTTCCTCTACCACTAGGAACCGGACTACCATGTGTCGTCCTTCCCCTTTTTCGCCCAGGCGGATGGGTAGATCTACTCGTCCCAGTGGGTGGACGACTCCTCCCCCAAACCCTATTAAAGGGTGGGAGGCCGGATGTATGCAATCCGTCTGATATTTCAGTTTTGACAGACATTTGCTGCTGATGAGATCTGAAGAGCTCCCGGTATCTATGAGGATTCGACCAACTCTCTGGTTGGCCACTTTACATTCAATAACGAGAGGGTCGTCATGCGGCCCCCTTATTCCTCCTAGATCCTCTTCAGTGATGACAATCTCAGGAAATGTATATTTGGACGGTCGTTCTTGGTGAACGGAATTTACATCTAACCGCCTTATATTATCTTTGTTGCCCCTAATAGTGGGGCCGCCTCCTGAGAAGCCGCCTGCAATGGTGTAGACGACTGCATCATCTGTATCAGAACTGTCGGCCTGCTGATTCTTTTTGGCCGACTGCTTTTTTGAGGAAGTGTTTCCCGTAGATTTCTTGACATAAGTGTCAAGATCACCTTGATCAGCCAAGCGGTCTAGGTACCACATGAGACTGATGCAGTCATTGGTGTGATGACCAATGTCATCATGATAAGCACAGATTTTGTCTTGGTTCCGGTTGCTCGCAGAACCCTTCATGGGGAGCGGCTTCTCAATTGAGAGCCGTCCCTTTATTTCTTTTAGGATAAACTGGTTATCCTTGTTAAACACATACTTTGGGGAGTATGGTTTGAATTCTTTTTTCTTTTTCTGGGCCGGCTGTTTAGAGGAATCAGCCGCCCAGACCTCTTTTCTTTTTTCATCTTTGTTGGACGACTGTTTCTGTCGTCTCTCTCTGTTGTCGAACCTCTTCCCGTCCGACTGTTTTATCGTACACAGATCAGTCGCCTGTATATAGGCTTCTGCTTCAATCAAGGCCTCTTGAAGTGTCGCCACCCTTTTTCGAACTAAATCAAATTTGAAGGTAGACCCATCTTTGAGACCTCTAAAAAAGTCAGTATAAGCTACCTCATCCGGTAACCCTTGAATCTGTATTCTCATCAGGTTGAACCGCCTGATGTAGGAACGAAGCCCCTCCTTTTCACCCTGCTGAATTGTTCCCAAATCAAGGGTTGTTTTCTTCGCAGGGATGTTCATTGCGAAGTTGGAGGCAAATAAGTAAGCAAGCGTCCTGAAGCTGTTTACACAACCAGTCGGCAGGTTGCCGAACCATTGCTGTGCAATTCCCTTGAGAGTCGCTGGGAAACACTTGCACCAAGTGGGATCATCCAACCCTTGAAGGTACATCAGGTTGGTGAATGCCATCAGATGGTCTTCCGGGTTAGTAGTGCCATCATAGGCGCCTACTAAAACATTTTTTACTTTGGTCGGCTGAGCGGCTTCAGTAATTTCCTTGGAGAAGGCCGACGGCTGTTCACCAAGTCTAAGCAGCCGTAGCTGCCAGTCCATAGGTTGGACGTTTTTTGCTGCAGGTCCACCAAATGGAGGTGGCTGCATAAAATATTGTTGTTGCGGCACAAATGGCAAGTTTGGTACCGCCTGTGCACTATGAAAGCCGGACTGACGGGAGGTGCCGCCTGACTGACTCTCATGGTACGACTGAGTTGGCCTCATAGAGGCATTTCGCAAACTGTCCTGAAAATTTGAAGTAGAAGCCGACTCTGATAATCGGTCACTCTTCTTCTGCTCTAGCAGGTGCCGAGCATCTGTGAACATTTGCTTTGACCCGTCCGCCTGAATATGACGAACCGATTTCCTATTTCCCGTAGGATAACGGAGTTTTGTGAAATCAAGAGCAGACGGCTCCCGCTTCTTAGATTTAGGATGGGGAGTCGCCTCTCGCCCTTGAACTGGCTTCCTCTTCAGTGAAGTGGAAGGTTTTTTGGCCGACTGCTCTTTGACTGAAGCAGGCGGTTTTTTGTTGATCAACTCTTGGATCTCTCCCTTGAAGCCCCTCATGAAGGTCATGAGTTCGTTCCTTGTGATGGGAGCAGACCCATCAGTCGGCTGTTGCCGAGCAAGCGATGCGCCTGCTGGCTCGCTTCCTGTTTGAAGATACTCCCGTTCCCTTATTTCAGTATGACGGGTACGGCGGGCCCTTAGGGTCCCGTCTGGAGCTGTATGAGTTTCAACTTCAAATTCACTTTCGGTATCATGGTCCGACTGAACTTGAGGGTCGTCTAGGGGACGCCTCTCTTCTGGAGTCGGTACAGACTTGGATGCCATCTCTGAAGTACTCTCCCCACAGACGGCGCCAAATGTTTCGGGGTTTTCTGATGTCCTGCGGGAGAGTTACAATTCCGAGACTGGAACCGGACGCCTGTACCTGCAAAATAACGGAGACTCCTGAGAGCTCCGCCTCCAACGGTCAAGTTAGTACCTGATTAAGGAGTAATCAATACAGAAATTAAAGTAATCAGATCTCTCTAGGTGAGAGTGCTTAGTGTTGGTAATCTGCGTTGTTAGCGAGATTAGCCGGTCGTTAATAAGTCTGTTCTTCTCTGCTTGATCTCTTAATTATTTGGTCCTTTGATTAATGAGGATTAATCGAGTATTTATAGCCTTGGGAAGCGTGCAACTCTCTAGGTTTAAGGTAAACCTAGGGCTGATCGGGCCTCTAGACTGAATTGGGCCTTGATGGCCGGTTGTCCCACTTGGCATGGGTGGACACGTGGCGTGTCTTAAGTGGTCCGTGGAGGACGTATCTGTGACTGACACGTGGCAAGCTCCTGTTGGCCTTCGTGAAGGACACGTGGCGGAACCTGGTTGGTCCACTTGTCAGACGGTGATTGGTGGATAAAAATCCCTTAATCACTAAGTACTCAAACTTCTTCGTCTCGAGATTTTTTTTTTTTTTTGTGAAAGCAGCATATCTGTCAAAGCAAAAACCACATAATTAATCAATAATAATTAAGATTATTAAGAACATACCACAAAACAACTTACCATTAAAACGATGAACACTAAACAAATTAAAAAAAATTCGGGTTCAACTCTCTTTAAAATTTGTTGCAATGCTTCTGGGTTTAAAATTTGTTCCAATGCTTCTAGGTTTTCAAGTATACATAATATAATTCACCCACTAACTTAATTTCATGAAACTAACAACATATAAAAACTTGAGAATTCCACTAAAATAACAAATTAAACAACAAATTAAAAAATGAAGACAATTATGAATTTAAACACATACAATGGTAACAGTAGCAATAACAGAAGCAATTGCAGCCATATAAACAATTACTCACCCAGAAAAAAAACGAAAAATTACTCACCCATATAAACCCAGAAAAAGAAAAAAGAAAAATTACTCACCCATATAACAGTTGCCTCTACCAAAATAAACCCAGAAAAAAACGCAAAATTACTCACCCATATAAACAATTGATATTCATAATAAATAAATATAAAATTGAAATTTATTACTAAAATTAAAAACCCAAATCAAGAAAAAGATAAAGAATAAGATCTGAAAATACCTTGAGCACATTCGGCTTTAATTTGATGGGGTTCAAGAGTGATGAGTGTCATTTATGGCACTCATAGGGTAGTCTTTTAGGATGATTTCATCCCTTTTTCATGCTTCTTCTCTTATTTTTGGTCCATTTTCCTTTAGTTCCTCTCTTTCCTTCTTTCTTTGTGTTTTTCGTGTTTTCTTCGTGTTTTCCTTTATTTGGCCCTTTTTCCCTTTTATTCCTTTTCTTTGTTTGCTCTTGTAGGTACCTAGGAGTTGTCTTTGCAAAGGGATCAAGATGAGCTATATTGACTAAGCAAGGAGGAAGCAATCTGCTCAGAGAGGGCTTGGAGAGGGCTTGGAGAGGGAATCATCTTTTTCCAGGTTGCCGCGGGCGCAGATCCTAAAGGCACGGGCAGGGGTTATGTTGCACCAAATTTGCCAAAATCGACCAGGAACTCCCCGCGGTTGCCCCAAGGGCTCCCCGCGGGCGCAGGTAGATTAGAGAGGGCGCTCCAGATTAGAGAGACCGCGGGCCTCTGATTACTCTTTGCGAGCAGGGCATTTTCCGCGCCCTTGCCGCGGGCGCGGGTGTTGCCTAGACAGCCCGCGGGGTTTGTTATGGGTTCCGTACCCATTTCCCTGCGGGCGCGTGATTTCTTAGAGAGGGCGCGAGGAACCTGTTTTCCTTCTTTGCTTATAAATACACTTGTAATTCCTTTTTGAAAACTAACTTTTAGATAATTTTTATTAGCTTAGTTTTAGAGAGAGAAGTTAGTGAGAAGTTAGAAAGAAGTTCTTGGATTTGGATTGGTATTTCAACATTGGTTCAATTGTGTTTGGATTTCTTCATCTTCAATCATTAATATTAGTGAGAATCTCTTCTTTTAGTTCATCTTTTTACTTGTTTGTCTTAGTTTCATGTTTGATTATTTGATTTCCTTGGATTTGAATTTGATATTGTAGTTGTGATATTTTTTTTCTCTTGATTTTGATTTAGAATGATGATCAATGCAATTTCTAGTGATTTGTTCTTGAGTTATACCATGATTAGTGAATAGATTAGTTGCTAGGGAGAAGGGGAAGCATGCTTGATTGATTATTTGTGCTAGTTGATGATCATTGATTGATGGAATTGTTGCAATTAAATTGGTTGACGTAGTTTTGCATGTGATTAATTAGATTAGGAGTGATCAACCTATAAGATTAATCTAGATTGCATTGCAATTCTTAATGACATGAACCATCAATTTGAGAATTGCTTTAATTTATTGAGTTTGATTGTGATTTTCCTTGATTAGCCATTCATAGTGACCCCTATCTTGTCTTATAGGAAATAGCTTTTGGATTCTTTTGATTGCTACTATTGTTTGTCCTTTGCAATGCTTGAATCAATTGAATAAACTATCAATTAGCATGATTATTGAACTTGCATGTTGAACCTACATCCCTAGTGTTTAGTTTCTTGAATTACTTGATCAATATAGCTTTGTTACCATAGTACCAACCATTTTCTCACTACAAGCTTCGAAGTAGCTTGACTTAGGCTATATTTAATACCGACTCACTCCTTTGGCTTCGACCCTCGACTTGCCTTATACTCGTATTAGGTTGGTTTAGGTTGTATAAATTGTATTTTATCTAGGGATAGATAATTGATGACACGTTTATTCCTTTATCAAAGAGGAGCAGGAATCAATATTGATTGGCTGATGTTGTTGTTGACGATGGAGTTATTTTTTTGACCAGTTATTACACTTAGAATTCCCATTTTTGTCTCTCTTATTACAGTGATTCGATTTCTTCTGTTGTAGCAAATTAACTTTCCAAAGGTTGATTTTTTGCTTGACTCACTTCCGATGTCGTCTTCTCTAAAGTGACAATCTTGTTATGGCGGATTTGATAAAGCGAGGTGGATGCGGGTCATTATTTTCACTCGACTTGGTCGGATATAAACCGGGTGAGGAGATAGCTTAGGAGGAAGTAGATCATGGTGGTGGTAGTGAATTCATTTGTTGGAAGAGAAGGAGAAGCAGTTGGAGAGAGAAAGAGGAGGGAGAGAAGGAGAAGCAGTAGGAGCGGCGGATGAAGGTAGGTTTGTGAATTATTAGGGTTTCATTTCCTTTTTATATTATTTGTAGATTAGGGAGACCGGTTAAGTTGTCACGGGTCTCTCCTAATAAGTTTTTCAATTTTTTTTATATAAAATAATGAGAAATCGGTTATATACTAACGCAGGTCTCTCCTTTTAAATTTTAAAATAAAAAAAATTAAGAGAGACCTGTTATGTAATAACACAGGTCTCTCCCTTTTAAATTTAAAATTAAAAAAAATCAAGAGAGACCTGTTATCTATATTAAAAGGTCACCGTTTAATATTCACTTCTTAAGACAATACAAAAGAGACCCGTTTTTTGTAATATTGGGTCTCTTGAAACAAAGAGACCGGTTATCTACTAAAACGATCTCTTATTTAAGGTCTCTTTGAGGATTTTTGTAGTAATGATTGGTGAGTGATGGATGGTGGGATAAACTTGATTATTTTCTTGAATTTACACTACCCATGATGAACTTCTTGAGGGTTGCTGATACAGACTCATGTGTCTTACACTTAGTGTATGACATGAGGGATACGATGATCGAACAGGTGAAAAAAGTTATTTTCGATAATGATGATGCTGATTATCTCACAAGATTGTCTCCGCACTACTACATTTTTTATCAAATGCGACGGTAAAAAGAGAGCTAATAAAACGACCCTTTTATTACCATTGCATTAGATAAGCCATATACAACGGCTTATACTTTAGGGGGGCTAATGCGACGACATTAAGAAGCCGTTGCATTAGGTGTGCTAATACAACGGTTTGGAAGGCTGATGCAACGGCAGTAGTCTTTATCCACACAATAAAGTTAAATACAAGTACCTAATTTTTTCTCCCACTCTTTTTCTGTTTCCCCTTCTCTCTAACTTTCTTTCTTTCTCCTCAGCTCCATTAAAGCGACATACTTCGAGTATTCCATTGACACGCACTCTGAGCTTTCTCTCCTCCACTAAAGCTGAGTTGAGTTGCGTATTTTTTTTAATAATCATCGAATAACAATTTAACAATCTAGGATTTCACTATCTTTGATTTTATTGTCAATAGAGATAATTTTGGGTTCTTTGGTTGATTAACAAACTATTTTTGAATATTAATTCCTTTGAATTTATGGTGATATAATTTCCTTGCTATGTTTCACATTTACTCGAGTTGTTGTGGAGCTTTTGACAACTAGAAGAATTACCACTATCAGCAACACTCGGAGATCCAATATACTTCGCGCAGACCACCGCACCACCACAAGTGGATGCCACCAATGCTGCCGCATCTGCAGCACTGCTAAGGGCTGGATTGGTATTTTTATTTTTCCTAAATTTACAATTCCACTTTCGGTTCTTTTAATTGCAATTTATGTATGTAGATTTTCTTGATTTCAAATTGTCTATTGAAATGAAACTATATTTGGTAGATTATTTGATATAAGAGCAATGAAATGTTTGCTGGTTGTTTGACAAAATTGAATTGTATTATTTGATTAAAAATTTAAACCTTTACTTTGGTGTTTATAGATTATATAAAACTACTCAAATTACTTAATTTAGATGCAAAAGTTTTAATTTGATCTTATGGTCTTGCCTTTTGTGGTGTGTAAATGCAAATATAGTTGGTTCATTGGCCGTACGACCATGTCATACTGAAACCCATGATGCAATAGATTCTGCCATTCTTTGTATGTAATTCTGCTTGTTTTTTTAGGGGAATTCGTATGCGGCTCTAATATAAGTTTGTTTTGGTTATTTTATTATGAAACAATTAGGCTCTGTATATAGGATTTAGATCTTAAAATTGGTTATATTTAGAAATGAATCTATTGTTGCTTCATTAGCATATGGGTTTGAGAATCTTGGATTAGTAATGACTAACAATAAATGTATGTGAACTGTTCTTATATTGGCTTTTTTGAGAGAAGAATTTCAGATAATTATAGGGTTAATATTCCTCATAACATATTAAGTTATTTGTGTTACATTTTAATTACATGAAGAAAAGAGTAGGGTGGACAAAATTTAGGAGGAAGAAGGTTATTATATTGGCTATATATTTATTATTGTGAGTATGTGACTTGGTTGAATTAAAGAAGAAAAGGAATTGCTTGTATATCCATCACTAGGGTCCGTCTATCTTTGTCTATTGCACACAGCATGTTCTTTCTTTACTTGTTGTTATATCAATTCATATACTATATGTAGTTTAATTGTATGCTTTTCTCTGGTAGGCTTACTCTTTCACTATGGTGTATTTTGCCCAAAAGTGAGGGTAGATGAAGGCATGAAATAGGATTTACAATGCAGCAATGGAGATACGGTTAATAGAAAGGAGAGTATTTTTTTATTTCTTAAAGTTTTGAACCTGAAGTATATTATATTAACTTGTTTTAAACCCCCCTGTTTGCCTTTTGTGCGTGCATTTGAAGCTCAAGTGCTTTGAATATTAATTGATGGGTTAGTGTCAAATTATATTTGTTGATTTTGTGATTGGTTGCACAATATTGGTAGTGCAATTATGTCATTGGAGTTTAGACTTTACTTTAATTCAATTATTAGACTTGGAAGAATGAGTAACTATTAGCATTTTTTGGAGTTTAGACTTTACTTGAATTAAATTCACATAGGCATGTGATTTAGGTGTAGGATAAATTTTTAATCCTAGTTCCCTTTTATTACTTTGTATCATATACTTATATGCCCTGTACCCATCAGGTGTAATGTTGCTGGTTTGTACTCGCTTAGAAGCAAGTTCGACACGTGTATATTATGTTTTGGTATATTTCTTGCATGTAATTTGATATGCTTAACAAAACCTTTTCGGATCCGTGGCGAAATTAAGTTTGCAACTACTGGTGCCGTGTCGAGGCTGCTGCTGCGGCTGCTTGGCAAGGTTGCAGCTACTACTACACAGTTAGCTTTAAAAGGTTGCAGCTGCTACTGCCCTATAGAGGTTATTGTTGCCCTGGCAAGGCTGCAACTGCAGCTACAGCTGCTACCACTCTGCTACTACTTGTGAATTTTATGCTTTTGGAAAGCTGAGCAAAAATATTAAATGTGAAATTTTATGCACTTGAATTTTGAACAGTGAACTGCCACATGAATGGAGTTTCGGGTTAAAGAGGCATGAATAAGTAGATGGAACATGAAACATTGAAAATAATACAAAAAGGGAGAACTGGGTTACTGTAAAGACATTAGCCTCGTGGATATCCAAATATATTTTAGTCATGAGCTTTGAATTTTCTCAATTCCCTCTATATGGCATTCTGGTTATGTCCATATGGTTTAGGTGTTAGCTAGCATATAGTAACTAGTAATATCTACACTTTCATTCCTTGAATGTCCAATCATCCTCGTGTTTTAAAAATCTAACTTAAACAACAAAAGATTAAAGTATTTGTTATTCTTCTTCTTATTAAACAGAGAGGCTGTAGAGAAGCTTTTTAAGGATATGCATGAAGCGGGAAATTGACTGCACTGGTTTTTTAACTTCTTTAACAGGTATATAGCTTTCATTTATTATTCATGAGCTAATTAGTTTTGAACAATAAGCACTGACATAAATTTAAGATGATGTAGGTGTAATAAGCACATCAACAACTTCTATGGCATGAACCTTTGCAAACAACCACCAAATAATATGATCCATTTTTCTAAACATTTGTGCCTATTAATAAACTTTATTGTTTTTATTAGACCACATCCATTTAGAGTGTCTTTAAATTAGCGATACTTGAAAGAATATGATTATGTATTTTAGGTGGAGCACATAGTAAGAGAAGACAGTATGATATTGGCTCAAGAAATAATAAAATGGTTAGTGAGCTAATTGCATCCCACCCTCCCATTATCGAGTCTCAAAGGTTTATTCTTCCTACCCTTAAAACTGAGGGTATAATAAAAAAAAGTTATAGAAATTGTATTGAACAGATCTGGTTATATTGGAATTGTGACTTGTTTCATGCTCGATAATTCTTTTGAATGTAGGCTATTGGTGTTATGGTACATTTTTGTGAATTTTTGTGATGTTGAAACAACAATTATCTTAACCTGACTTGGACTGTGTCCTGGCTGTTTATCAGTTACAATATCTTTCATATAATGCTTTTAGTTGAGACAAGTTAAGTAATGCTCATAATTTGGGCTCTAATACTGAGAAGAGTTGCCGACAAAATGTATCAAGTGTTATGACCCTGAGTCTATATCATTAGTAGTGTGCACTAGGGTTGACAGGTTATTTCTGACTCTTCGTGTAACCTGAGCTCTACTGCTGGTGGGAGATGTGTTTATTCCATGGCACCTCAAGTTCCTTTCATATTTTTTTTTAGTGCTCAATTCTTCTATAATCCCATTTTGATTTGTATGCATGTTTTATTTATTAGGGGATTTAGATCCATTGGATGTGTGTAAACACTGCTAGAGGTGGATACTTAAACCGAAGAAGATGCTTCCCGAATTGCCTCACTTGAGAAATTGGAGAAGTGGGAGAAAGAAATAATGATGCGGTCCAAAGAATTGCTTAATGTATTGTTTGGGGATCAATATTATTTAGTTTTAACTTTTAATTGTTTTGTTCTTAGTTTAACTAGTGATAATTTAATTTTGTAATTTTCCTTATAGATAACAATGTATAAACTTTTAATTTATATTAATACAATTCTAATTTTATTTTTTTTGAAAATTCTGATTATAATTGTATTATTATTATTATTATTATTATTATTATTATTATTATTATTATTATTATTAAATATAGGGAACCGTGGCATTAGGGTGTATGCACCGTAACACTAGGTATAAAAAACCGTGGCATTAGGTGTTATAGCTAATGACACGGCAGTAATGTTGTCGTTGCATCAGATATTGATCTACTGCAACGGATCATTGATGTTGTGGCATTGGGTGTCCTATGCCGTTGCATTAAACCTATTGCAACGCCAGCAGATGCCATGGTACATGGTCGTTGCATTAGGCCTAATGCCACGAATTTTTACGCCTAATGCAACGAATTTGGGGGTTGCAATAGGTCAAAAATGTAGTAATGCCGTTTTATGATGCTATTCAAAAAGTCATTAAGTGTAGGTAGAACCAAGCCATACCCCTTACATTTCTTGGCACATTCTTTAGTTCCTAAATATTACCCTCATGAATGGATTCAAGGGGGAGGCAACATTCCAAGGGTACCTCCTCATGAAGATAAAGAGGTTTTAAGAGATGGAAATACGTGTTTACATAGGCTTTTCCCAAATGTTGATGATGCTTGAAAAATCTTTCTTGAATACGGAGCTTATTCTAGGGATTTAGGGTTCTTTAATGAACCTCATGTCATGTAGTTCCCTCACGATTGCTTTAGAGGAGTTTAAAATACTACTCCTACCAACAAGATGCATATTCCTTTTAGAGAGCCAATATGATAAGATACTACATAATTAAGCGTGCTTAGTTGGGAGTAGTCTTGGGATGGGTGGCCCTTTATGCGCATTTCGTGATAATAGGCCCTTCCCTAATTTGTTTGGGGTCTGGGTGTTACAGTACAAATGGTATCAGAGCAAACCTGCAACCGCTTGCTGACCATAGATAATTAATCTTATGTCAGTCGTCTAGCAGAGGAGAATTCTAGGGTTATATTGCCGTAACAAGACTGGATGTAACACTTTGATTACCCAGCTGCCGTTAGGCGTAATACTAGAGTCCCTAGTTTTCTAGGCGGAACGAGGGCATTGCCGATTTTAAGTGAGGGATTTTTGTAATACCCCTCATGATTGCTTTAAAAGAGTTTATAATACTAATCATACCAATAAGATGCATCTACCTTTTACTAAGCCCATATGCTAAGATACTCCATAATTAAGCGTGCTTGGTTGGGAGTTTTTGTGGGATGGTTGACCTCCTAGGAAGTTTTCCCGGGGTGCACATGAGTGAGGACAAAATACGCCGGAAGGATTGTGTTGGTATGTGAGGACAGGTGTTGGCCCTCGATGAGCATTTCGTGACAATAGGCCCCTCCCAAATTTGTTTGGGGTCGGGTGTTACATGTCATGGCAGGAAGGGCATATGAAGATCCCATGTCATGGTGTTCCAATTATGGCTCAGGTGCTCCAATGTTGCAAAGCCTTGCATTCAAGCTGCTCCCACAACCTCCTTCTTCTTCTTGTTGTAAGAGGAATTGGAGCACATATTGATAGAGATAGCTTGTTAGAAGTTGCTGATCTTTCGCTCAATAAACTAGAATTTGAAGCTATATCATTTACTGACCTTTGAGAAGAAGTGTTTTTTTAGTCATCCTAGAGCTGCTGAAGGAATTTTGAAAGTTTAAAACTCTCAGAAGTTAAGAATTGAAGAACATCTTTTGATATTTTTATTGTTCCGTACATTTGGTCTTTTCTTATGTAGTCTGTATTGTTTGAGATGTTGAGTTTTTATTCAAAAACTTATTTTGTTGTGTGTTTATTATTAATGTAATCAATTTTCATGAATATGTACAATTTTTTGCACTTAATATCCGATTTTTTTCTTAAAATTTTTTTTACCGTATCCGTACCCGATTTCAAAGTTAAGACAATGTCCCCGTGTCCTAAATTTTTAAAAATTGTCATATCGTACACTTGGATCCGTACCATTATGGGATACCCGTACCCGAGTCAATGTAACATAGTGCATAGAAGAGCTGCATACTCCATTTTTTGTGAACATAAGTTATGGTGAGTTAAAGAAAAGAAAAAGAATGCTATGATAAAACAAGGAAAAGTAAATGTGTTGTAATGCAAAAACAAACAGAAATGTGGGTATTTATAGCGAACCATGAGTGGTTCTTGTGGGGAAAAATTGGAGCAAATAGTGTTTGCATGTGTGTGAATAGGACATTCCGCAAAATCATGGTTGGACATTGAATTTTAGTGTGTGAACAAGTATTTCCACTAATGTTTATCAGTTTAATTTAGTGTGTCAATAACACATTCCAAAAATCATGGTTGTATAACATTCAATTTTAGTGTTTGTTTCTTATCAATTGAATAACGTACTCGTTTAATGGACTTTCACTAATGATAATTCGTATCACCAATGAACTTTAAAAGTATCTAAATATGGTAAAACAAGTAAAACGATAAATACGTTTCAATGGGCCTAACCCACACCGTTCGTCCCATACATCACTTTCATAGTATTAATAAGGCGCGTAGTATAGGGTTTTTTTCCTTCCAAGATATAGAAACAATTTCATTCTATTTATAAGAAGGTGCACAATGGCTACCTTTCCACACCAACACACACCTCCATTGCAAATCATTTTATCAAAGCTCAACCATGTCTCCAACCTCGACAGCAAGGGGATTAAATGTTAGGGTACCATACAACCACTATATTTCAAAACATCAAACAATATTATTATTTCAAATACAAAAAAGATAATAAAAATTTCCCCCTCAACAAACACTATTCGGGAATAAGAGATAAATATAACGAGAACGATTTTTATTTCTATTAGGAACCTACATTTGAAAGCCTTTCCTCATTCTCTGTTATATAAACGCAAACGTGAAACAACCCGCCTGCAGTATACTAGACCATCAAAATCTCACCAGCAACAAAGACATTATCTGTAACAAATGTATCCTATCCTTCATGAAGATTCACTGGTCGACTAGATTGAACATCAGTCTCAGGAATAATTACATCCCAGGCACTACTTAATTACTTGCATAACTCTTATATAACTCGTTTTCTTTAATGGGGGTAGAATGCGGTAGAATTTTGTGTTTTTTCCCTTTTTTTGTTATTTTTTTGTTTTTTGCACAATTTTAAAGAGTATTTTGAGTAATTTTGATCTAAAAGAATCACCAAAAGGTAAAAGTATGACAAAAAGTACAACTATATTATACAAAGTGAGGAAAAAGTTTGAATTTCATTACCCAAGTTTTGGGACGAAATTCTTCTAAGGGGGGTAGACCATCATACCTAGTAATTTTATGCGTATTTTAATTTAAATTAGTATTTTGTAAAGTATTTAAATAATTCAAAATAAATTATTTGTGGAATTTTAATTATTTATTTTAATAAGTTCGGAAATATTTTATAAAAGGAAATTTTTAAAAGTCAAAGTAAAAAACAAGTTTGAATAGGAAAGGGAATTTAGGTATAGGAGGGTTTCTAGAGAAAAAGGGGTATAATATTCAGCACATGGGCAAAATAAACTTTGCCCAGAGTGGAGAACACCAAAGGTAATTTTCTCTCCCTTCTCTCTTATTTTTCTTTTCTTTTTTAATTCCCCTTCCCCTTTTTTGTAACACGGCTGACACCACCACGACGCACAACTAGCCGACAACAGCAGCCACCAGCGCACATGTTAGTAGCCACAGCGACACCAGCGGGCGCGGTAGCAGCCCTGCCGCGTGTCGTGGTGGTTGCTGCTGCTTGCGGTTTTCTAAAAAAAAAAAATTTCTTTTAATTCTTTTTCTTTTATCCTTAATCTAATTATAATTATGAGTTTTGTGATGATTTTCATGATGTTTGATGATAGGTATATTGTAAATAAATTTTCATATTTGATTTTTTTATTAAAAAACCCAAAATTGAAAACCCTAGGTTTCAAAATCATTGCATATAAAGGAATTTGATTTTTGGTGGATTAAATCATTGATTTGGGGGTTTTAAAACTCATTTACAGCAAGTTTTTATGATTTAATAAAGCTGAAAATTTTGTTAGTAAGCCATAATTTAGTTTCTTGAGGGAATTTTTGACTACCTATTAATTGGGATTAAAGTAATGGGTTTTAAATTAATTTTCAGCTTTTTTTAAATAAATATGAGGTATTTAAAGAGGGTATATATTGCTGGAAATTTGTGTGGAGTAGATTTTAATGTCTCTCTGTAAATTTGGATTGTAGGTGACTACCAAGTGAGTGATTTCATATAGTCGTGGCGATTTAAAGATCGTATTAAAGGTACGTTCGCGTACTTTGTATTTATTTGGTGATGTAGGAGCATGATAGGATTTTAATAATTGATTCCAAATAGTATCATGATAGATTTTGATTGGAATATATTATTGGGTTGATGTTGGTGATTGAATTATGAAGCATGGATTATTTGTAATGGATTAGTGAGTGAAAACATTTAATTTGGCATGTTGTATATAAACCACACTTTTATTATTGGCATGATAGAGAGCATGTTTAATTAAACTAAATGTTTAATTTGGGTTGAAATAATGAAAAGGAATTTTATTAGGTTCATATAATTTTTATAGATGCTTTAAGCATGAGGAAAGAGCTATTTAAGAGTCTATGCACATGAGGAATGAATTATATATTGGTGCGTAAGTGCACTTAAGATGTTTCTAACACCGAGAGATAGGAATTTTATGTGTATATTAATTTAAATAAGTATTTTGTAAAGTATTTAAATAATTCACAATAAATTATTTGTGGAATTTTAATTATTTATTTTAATAAGTTCGGAAATATTTTATAAAAGGAAATTTTTAAAAGTCAAAGTAAAAAACAAGTTTGAATAGGAAAGGGAATATAGGTATAGGAGGGTTTCTAGAGAAAAAGGGGTATAATATTCAACACATGAGAGTGGAGAACACCAAAGGTAATTTTCTCTCCCTTCTCTCTTATTTTTTTTAAATTCCGCTTCTACTTTTTTGTAACACGGCTGGCACCACCACGATGCACAACTAGCCAACAACAGCAACCACCAGCGCACATGTTAGTAGCCGCGGCAACGCCGGCGGGCGTGGTAACAGCCCTGCCGCGTGTCGTGGTGGTTGTTGCTGCTTGCGGTTTTCTGAAAAAAAATATTACTTTTAATTCTTTTGCTTTTATCCTTAACTAATTATTAATTATGAGTTTTGTGATGATTGTCATGATGTTTGACTATAGGTATATAGTAAATAAATTTTCATATTTGACTTTTAATTAAAAAGCCTCAAATTGAAAACCCTAGGTTTCTAAATTATTGCATATAAAGGAATTTGATTTTTGGTGGATTAAATCTTTGATTTGGTGGTTTTAAAACTCATTTACAGGAAGTTTTTATGATTTAATAAAGCCGAAAATTTTGTTAGTAAGCCATAATTAAGTTTCTTGAAGGAATTTTTTACTACCTATTAATTGGGATTAAAGAAAGGGGTTTTAAATTAATTTTCAACTTATTTTAAATAAATTATGAGTGATTTAAAGAGGGTATATATTGCAGGAAATTTGTATGGAGTAGATTTTAATGTCTCTCTATAAATTTGGATTGCAGGTGACTACCAAGTGAGTGATTTCATATAATCGTGGCGATTTAAAGATCGTTTAAAAGGTACGTTCGCGTACTTTGTATTTATTTGGTGATGTAGGAACATGATAGGTTTTGAATAATTGATTCCAAATAGTATCATGATAGATTTTGATTGGAATTTATTATTTGGTTGATGTTGGTGATTGAATTATGAAGCATGGATTATTTGTAATGGATTAGTGAGCGAAAACAATTAATTTGGCATGTTGTATATGAACCACACTTTTATTATTGGTATGATAAAGAGCGTGTTTAATTAAACTAAATTTTAAATTTGGGTTGAAATAATGAAAAGGAATTTTATTAAGGTTCATATAATTTTTATAGATGCTTTAAGCATGAGGAAAGAGCTATTTAAGTGTCTATGCACATGAGGAATGAATTATATATTGGTGCCTAAGTGCACTTAAGATGTTTCTAACACCGAGGGATAGGAATTTTGGCGCATTACGCATTTAAGGTGTCTCAAAAGTAAATGAGAATGGGTTCAACATTAAATATTATATGGTCACTAATTATTCAAGATTATATTGGTATGCTTAATTGTTTGAATAATTATAATGATTGATTCATTTATTGTGTTCTGGTTTTAGAGTTATCACCAAGTCTAATAATATGTAAATAACGTTAAGTGAATGATATTACGCATCAAAACTCTTGGAACGTATATACCTTGAGTATGAACATATGGGGGGAGTTATGGGGTTTTATATTTAACCATAATTTGTACTGGGAGTACAAAATGTTGTATATATCATTTTATTATTATGCGCAGGAATTTCACCACTTACGAGTGTTTTTTTTTCACTGGCACGGTTAGCTACCGTTATAGTACCCCTTCATTGGGGCAAGTTAAGGGGGAAACTCGTTCAATGCATAATCAATTCTAAATGAATAGTTTTTTTTTAATTTAGGGCAATGTTGTATGGTGTATTCTTGTAAAGAGGTGTATGGTGTATTCTTGTAAAGAGGTGCAACAAGGTTAGTTGTGTGATCATAGGTTAAAGTATGTTAGTGTGTTTTATTTACACTTATGTACTCAGCATTGCTGATTGTGCGTTTGTATGTTTGTTTGGCCTTATCTTAACTTTGGCCCTATGATGACCCATTTCAAATGGGGAGTAGTGGGGACAAGTGGAGACGAGCTTTGCAGGCGATGAAGCATATTTATGATGGGCAAGAGTGAAGAGCGAATAATGCTTAGTTTCCATAAGTTTATGATGTGATTTATTGCTTTAATTTTTTTTATTATATTATGCTTGTAAGAGTAACTCAAAGGTTTTTAAATTGGTTTGGTTTGAAGCAGGGCCTACAATGGTTCCAAGTTGTAGGTTGACTTTGCTTTACTTTTGTTTGACTTTAGTTTCGTATAGTTAACTATTAAAGTTGAATTGTTTTGATTTTTTTTTATAGTCTCTTGTTGTGTGTCTTTGTGACTAATGGTAAACCTAGGTCGTTGGGGACTAGATTTACCTGCCAAAATAATATGTATTAGGATAAACCAACCCGAGGTATAGGGTAAGTCTAGGTCGAATCCCAAGGGAAAGAGGGAGTGCTAAGGTTGATGCTAAGCTATTTAGAAGGCTAAGGGCGTGGGTTGGTCTATAATAATAGAATCAAATCAATCAAGAAAAATAAAATAGAATTCAATATCAAAACACTAGGGAACTTAGGATCCACATGCATTGCTAACAATCTTGCTAATTCAGGAGGATTCAATTAACAAAGCAATGTGAGGGAAAATGGAACAAGCAATCATAGTCACTCAATAGGCTATTCCTAGGGTCAAGCTAGATTTCTCTACAAATGACTCCAATAGGAAATCACAAATCGATATCAAACGATAATAATAGCACTCAAATCAATTGTTCGTGTCATTGAAGACTATTATGCAATCTAGCATTATCCTAAAGGTTAGCTACTCCATTTCATACCAAGCACATGCACAAGTTTCATTAATCAATTTAATCACATCAACAATTCAATCAAAATCCCAAATTAGCATTAGACTATCACCAAAACATGCTTCACCACATTCCCTAGCAAATCAATTACTCACTAATCATGGCAAAATTGAAATGCATAGCAAAAGAAATCATCAATCTAATCATCAACATTGTAATTCAACAATCAAAATTTAGCTAAACAATAGAAATTCAACAATATATTATAAAATCAAACTTCAAATGGCATTGAAAAGGTAAAGAATTCTTACAAAACTTTGATAAATATCAAAGAGGAATGAAGATCTCAATAGCACAATCATCAAATGCCAAGCTTCTCTCTTTAGAATCTAAGAACAATACCACAAAATCAAGAGGTTCTCTCTCTAAAAATCTAATCAAAATCTAATTCTAATTCAATTCTCTTTCAAAACTTTTCTCTCTAAAAAATAAAGGAATTTCTATTGATAGCAAAACTAACTATAAGGAAGTTAGTTAGATGTTCCAAAAAGGACCTCAAAGAGCGCGGTCCCAAAGCTTTTTGAATCAGATGGGAAGGGGTCTTCTCCCTGAGGTTTGACTTTCGTTGACTTTCTCTCTTCTCTCTCTTCTTCATGGTTCTTCATTTTTGGTTGGTTTTCTTCATCAAATCTGGATATCAATGGCGAAGAAGAAGAAGCAAGCTATTTCTACACCTCAAGTAGCGCAACAAAAGACTGCTTATGAAGTTGTTGGTTCGATTTTGCAGAATTTGGGAAACTCAAGTACCTCTTTAGTTCCTAGCCCGATTTAAGAGGTGGATGAGCTGCTTACTCCGACGCCGGCGTTAGTGCAGTCGGCTTGTGGAGCTATTTCCGGTGTTCCATTGGATGCTGAAGCTACTCTCTTTGCTGAAGCTGCTGCTAGGCCGAGTCAGTCCAATGGAACAGTACCTAGGGTTTCTGGGTTTACTGTTCCATTGGATGCTGGTGGATCTGGGCATAGTGTTGAGCCAGGGCGTTCTCTTCGCTATTCCTCACCCTCTCTGGAGCATAATGTGCACAAAGTTAATGAAGATCGAGCTGCTTCTCCCTCTGCCCTGGAACTGAACTCGCGCAAGTTTGATGAAAACCGAGCTGCCTCTTCCCCTGTTCTGGAGCAGAATGCGAGTGATCGAGATGCACCTTTTACTGGGAAATTGGCTGCAAAAGGGGATACATTATCCTTTGTTGCTCCGAAAGTGCAGGACGGGAAACTCATTGCTGAGCTACAGGCAGCCGAGCTTGAGGCAGGTAATCGAAAATGGGCTAATGCTTTAGTCTTTTATGTGGTTGGCTTTTACCCTACTATTGCTGATGTTCTTCGTTTCTTTGCTCAACAATGGAATGATATGCAAAAACCAGATGTGTATTGGCATGATGATGGGTACTTTATTGTCAATATGTGTTCTAGTGATGATAGAGATACTATACTTTGTTCTGGTCCTCATATGTTCCTTGGAAAGCCTGCAATAGTGAAGCCTTGGTGTCCTAATTTTGATTTTCATGCTGAAATTCTTAGAACTATCCCTCTTTGGGTTAAATTCCCTAATCTCCCACTTAATTGTTGGGGATCTGACACACTTAGCCGCCTTGGTAGTTTGCTTGGAGTGCTAATTTGTGCTGATGAGTGTACTACTAGACAACTTAGAGTGTCTTTTGCTAGGGTTCTGATTGAAATTGATGTTACAAAGCCTATGCCCACCTTTATATGGGTTGAGAGTCCTTCGAAGGAACTATTGGAGATCAGGGTGGTGTATGAGTGGGCTCCTCCTTTTTGCTCTAAGTGTAACAAGATTGGTCATGATTGCTCTGTTAAGCCTCCTATGCCTAAGCAGGCTTCTAAGCAACCGGCTCCTGTTCCTCCTAAGCAAAAGCAAGTTTGGGTTCCTAAGCCTACCCATGTTCTTGCTTCTACTACTGCTGTTGATGTTGGTGTTTCTGTTCATGGACAATCTATTATTACTCCACAGGTTCATACCTCTCAGAATTCAGATGAGGGGTGGAGAATAGTAGGGAGGAAGACAAAAAGGCAGCAAACTAGAGTTCATCAGCCTGCTTCTACCTCTAATGCCTTTGTTGCTTTATTTGCAACTGAAATGGATGGTGCAGGTGGTTTCACTATAAATCTAAGCGGGGGTGAGGTTGATCCCCCTATGGTTTCATGATTTACTCTGTTTGGAATGTCAGGGGCTTGAATGACCCTGGCAAAGTTGCCTCTGTAAAGAGGTCGCTTCACTCACATTCAGTTGATGTTGTTGGATTGCTTGAAACAAAAATCAAATTGAAAAATGTTCTCACTTATCAGAGGAAGTTTGGCTCTTCTTGGCTTTGGTTGTGTAATTATGACCATTCTCCCAAAGGGAGGATTTGGCTTGGTTGGAATGTGGATAGAGTAACTGTTAATGTCTTGAAGGTTCATGAACAGTTCATTCATTGTACTGTTTCTTCTAAGGATCTCGCTACTCAAATTTATCTCACTGTTGTTTATGGTCTTCACTCCATTCATGATAGGCTTCCTTTGTGGGAGGGGCTCAGAAGCATCTCTATTCAGCATTCTCCTTGGCTTTGTGTTGGTGACTATAACTCTGTTCTTCATACTTCAGATAGGCTTCATGGTGTTGATGTTACTGATTATGATACTAGAGACTTTCAGAATTTGGTTGATGATTTGGACCTCACTGAGATCAAAAGCAAAGGGTCCTTTTACTCTTGGTCTAATAAGGCTCATACTGGCCCTAGAACGCTCTCTAGACTTGACAGAGTCTTTGGTAATCAAGATTGGTTAGCTTCTCATGGGCATGTGGAGACTGTTTATCTCCCTCCTTCTTTATCTAATCATAGTCTAGTTCTGTTGGATATTTTCTCTAGCCTTGTGGGGAAAGGTAGACCTTTCCGATTTCTAAATTGTATTGCTGATCACCCTGATTTTCTTGATACCGTTTCGCAGGCTTGGGGTTCTGGTAGCTCTGTTTGGCAGAAGCTTAATTCTGTGAAGTCTAGTATCAAATCTCTTAATAGCAAGCAGTTTGGTAACATTGAGGAAAAGATTGACCAGGCTAATGCTGAGCTTTCTAGAATTCAAAACTTAATGGCCCAGAACCCTGATGATTTGGATTTATATGCTAAAGAATCTGATGCTATTAAGGTTGTCAAGCACAGGAATGATATTCAAGAAAGCATCTTCAAGCAAAAATCTAGGATTAATTGGGTTAAGCTTGGAGATGGCAATTCTCACTATTTCTTCTCTGTGATGAAGACTAGGCAAGCAAGGAATAGAATTGACTCCATCTTTGATTCTAATCAGTATTAGGTGTTGCTCAAGGATCCAGATGCTATTTCTCATGAAATTATCTCTTTCTATAAGTCTCTTTTAGGGACTCGGGCTCCTTAGCTCCCTACTGTTGACCTTGTTACTATGAGGAGGGGTAAGCAGCTTATCTTTGCTGCTCAGAGCTACCTCATTAGGCCTATTTCTCATGCTGAAATTGATGTTTTCCTTAAGGGAATTGATAACACTAAAGCTCCTGGTATTGATGGCTTTAACTCCTTTTTCTTTAAGAGAGCTTGGCATATTGTGAAAGATGATATTAATGCAAGTGTTATTGATTTCTTTAATAACGGGACTTTGCCTAAGCAATGGAATTGCACAACTATCACTCTGGTTCCTAAAGTCCTTTCTGCTTCTCATGTTAAGGATTTTAGACCTATAGCCTGTTGTACTGTGGTCTATAAGCTCATTTCTAAGGTCATAACTGCTAGGCTTGCTGCTGTCATTGGTGAGGTGATTGATGATGCTCAGGCAGGGTTCATTCCTGGCAAGCACATTGGTGACAATATTCTTCTTGCAACTGAACTGATCAAAGGCTATGATCACAAATTTATCTCTCCCAGGTGTATGGTTAAGGTGGATTTGAAGAAAGCTTATGATTCAGTTGAGTGGGGATTCTTGATCACTGTCATGCAGGAGCTTGGTTTCCCTCAGAGATCTGTTGATTGGATCTGGAATTGTCTTACTTCTGTCTCTTACTCTATTCTTATTAATGGTTTTCCTGCCCCCCCCCTTTGAAGCTAAGAAAGGGTTAAGACAAGGTGACCCTATGTCTCCCTTTCTCTTTGCTATTGGTATGGAATACCTCTCTAGATGCCTTGATGAGCTTAGGTTATCTCCTGATTTTAACTTTCACCCTAGATGTGAAAAGTTAAACCTAACTCACATGATGTTTGCTGATGACTTATTGATGTTTTCTAGAGCTGATAGTGTTTCTGTTAAGCTTCTCTTCCAAGCCTTCTCGAAATTCTCGGGTGCCTTTGGGCTTTCTGCTAATCTTGATAAAAGTGAAGTCTATTTTGGAGGGGTCTCTGTTGATGTCCAGAAAGAGTTGAGGGAGCTTCTTGGTGTTTCTCAAGGTACCATTCCTTTTAGGTATCTTGGGGTCCCTCTCTCTTCCAAAAAGCTTACTATTGCCCAATGTAGGCCTTTGGTGGAGAAGGTCACTGCTAGAATACAAGGATGGATGGCTAAACACTTGTCCTATGCTGGGAGGCTTCAATTGGTGAAGAGTGTGTTGTTTGGTATCCAGACTTATTGGGCTCAATTTTTTATTCACTAGTAGAAAAAAACGCATTAGGCAGTGGTTCAACCCGGTCTAAGGCACCGGTTTGAACCGCTGCCTATTTGAGGGGTGCCAAAAACCCCCTATTTGGCACCAGTTCAAAACCGGTGCCATAGGGTTTAATAGGCACCGATTAACCAGTGCCATAGGGTGGAATAGGCACCGGTTAACCGGTGCCTAATACTGCTCTCCCGCCATTTTTTTTTGGGTGGTGGATAGTTTAGGCACCGGTTCCTGCCTAACCGGTGCCTTTTGAATAATTTTATTTTTTTTTCGTTTTTTTTTCCATCGTGCAATAATATTTTGAAAAAAAACCTGCAATAATAATACCCTGTAATTCCAGCAATTATATTAAATATAATAATTAATAATTTTATTATTATAATAACTAATAATAATATTATTAATTATTATATACAAAAATAATATTAGATACAAAAATTCAATTATATATATATATATATATAGATATAAATATTCCCAAACGCAATACAAAAAAAAAAAAAAAGTTTCTTACATATACAAATAATAGTAAGCACACATATATAATGAATAATAAGTTATATATAGTTTAAAAGTTAATAACATAAATAATTTACAATTACAATGCATGCCATTTACATGTTGAAGGTGATGAAAGACGCCAACATGTCACGAACTTCATTAAGCTCCTTGATTGTCAACAGACCATCCTTTTGGACCTTGCAAAACTTGAAATACAAAAACATTATTTTAAAAATAATTAATTAGGCAAAAAATATGTATTTTATCAAATATTACCTATACGACTTCTATATAGCCCATTTACTACATTACTTATCAAATGAACTATTTCTTTCTCATAACATTTCAATATTGGATAGTTGTATGTGTGTAAGCCCTAAAATTGTATAGGAGAGCATTTTATTAAGGTTTATGACGGTTTTTACCCAAAATGGCCCGAATATGGCCTATATGACCTTACTTTGCCCATTTCCTACATTTCTTATTAAATGAACTTTATTTATCTCATAACATGTCAATATTATCTAGTTATAGGTGTATAAGGAAAGAAATCACATCAAAAGAGCATATTAACACAAAATGGCCCTAATATGGCCCATATGACTTCTATTAAACCCATTTTCTACCTTTCTTGTGAAATAGCCTTTTTGTTTCTCATAACATGTCATTGTTGGATAATATTAGGTTTCTAAGGCTAGAAATCACATCAATATAGCATTTCAAGAAGTTTAACAACGCATTTTACTCAACATGGCCCAAATAGGGCTTATATGACTTCTATGTAGCCCATTTTCTACATTACTTATCAAATGAACTATTTCTTTCTCATAACATGTCAATGTTGGGTAGTTGTATGTGTGTAAGCCCTAAAATTGTATAGGAGAGCATTTTATTAAGGTTTACGACGCTTTTTACTCAAAATGGCCCGAATATGGCCTATATGACCTTACTTTGCCCATTTCCTACATTTCTTATTAAATGAACTTTATTTATCTCATAACATGTCAATATTATCTAGTTATATGTGTATAAGGAAAGAAATCACATCAAAAGAGCATATTAACACAAAATGGCCCTAACATGGCCCATATGACTTCTATTCAGCCCATTTTCTACCTTTCTTGTGAAATAGCTTTTTTGTTTCTCATAACATGCCATTGTTAGGTAATATTAAGTGTCTAAGGCGTGAAATCACATCAATATAGCATTTCAAGAAGTTTTAGGACTTACCTCATCAAGCTGTTGAGTGTCCGTACAATGAGTCACAATGTCAAGCATGAATCTCATCACATACAAAGCACAATCAAGTCCATTCTCTTGTTGTGCGCACTAGCATATGACAAACAAATCACATCAGTGAAACATGCAAAGGAAATGAGCAAATATTTACTACCATAGATTTTCAAGATAATCACAATAATATCATGTAAATTACCAACGGTGTCTTCCATGTTGGACCCTTTGGAGCACGACAATGTAGCTTCTTCATAACACTGTAGTATAAAAAAATACAATCAAATTTGATTAGTCGTATGATTACTAAATTAGTTATTATTAGCAATAATCATCACTATAAGTTGCTATATATATATTTACTTTTGCAATATAGACTTCACGAGCCACTTCTCCGATGATCGAGCTGAATCAAGGTGATAAATTGTGTTAGTGGAATTACAAATTACCATGAGGCTCCAATGCTCCCTACATAAGTTCATAATAGACAAGGTAATTAATATTTAGGATTCAACATATAATGAGGCCAAATCGATTGAATTTGACATGGTTAGTCATACTCTCTATAACATAGGGCGAATAAGAACTTGTCTCCCGCACGCGTTGATTCCCTTATACTCTGTTCAACATAGTACAACACGTCATGGGGGTTGCCTATGATTTTAGTAGTGGATAACTGCTCGGGGCATAACCACCCAACTTTACAAGGAGAATCAGTGTCAGTTAAGTGCTCCTGTAGTGCTCTGCATGCATGAACATTGATTAATTTATCAGATGTAGGATAATCACCATCAATTTGAATAACTTGAAAAAAGTATGAACTTTATGTGGGCATTGAAGTACCTCATGAATGTTTGAATGAGGGAAATGTTAAGCTTTGCACCACGTAGAAATTCCTTCACATCTTCTTTGCTGATCCATGCAATTGCATCCTCATCATAGTGGAACATTGCCTTAGGAAGTGCAACTTCCATGGGATCGACCAAATGACAAGCACGGTTGTGAAGAAAGGTCATGTCAGTAGAGAGCGATTGAAGAACAATGTCTTCAACAATTGGAGTAGGTGGCATCGGTGAACCTTTCGAAGAGTGCAACTTCGACGCTTGTTCACTCTTGGACTGTTGTTCACTAAGCTTCTTCTTAGGTTGATCAATTCTTTTAGGCTTCTCCACCCTCTTTCTCTTTGAAGTTTTTCTTCCATTGGAAATCTGAAATAGTTTGAGAAATAATAAGTTTCAACTCACAATCACTTATAATAGCCAAGTGAGTAGCCATTTCGGGTCAAAATGGCTTTTTTTTGTTGAATTGGACCCAAAAACTTAGAACTTGGCGATTTTTATGTAATTTCAAATGACAAACACTTATAAATATGTGATTATGAGTTGTTTTGATATGCAAGGAGTTTATAAGTTGAGAAATGAAGAAAATAGGCAAGTGAGTAGCCATTTCGGGTCAAAATGGCTTTTTTTGATGAATTTGACCCAAAAACTTAGAACTTGGCGATTTTTATGTAAATTCAAATGACAAACACTTATAAATATGTAATTATGAGTTGTTTTGAGATGCAAGGAATTTATAAGTTGAGAAATGAAGAAAATAGTCAAGTGAGTAGCCATTTCGGGTCAAAATGGCTTTTTTTTATGAATTTGACCCAAAAACTTAGAACTTGGCGATTTTTATGTAATTTCAAATGACAAACACTTATAAATATGTGATTATGATTTTTTTGAGATGCAAGGAGTTTATAAGTTGAGAAATGAAGAAAATAGGCAAGTGAATAGCCATTTCGGGTCAAAAAAGCTTTTTTTGATGAATTTGACCCAAAAACTTAGAACTTGGCGATTTTTATGTAATTTCAAATGACAAACACTTATAAATATGTAATTATGAGTTGTTTTGAGATGCAAGGAGTTTATAAGTTGAGAAATGAAGAAAATAGGCAAGTAAGTAGCCATTTCGG